ACACACACACACACACACACACTGCAGTGAAACACACTCAGATGATCCCATCTTTGCAGACGCTGGAAAAACCCTAGTCACATGTGTCTCTGTGTAGTGTGTGTGTATCTGTGTGTGTGTGTGTGTGTATCTGTGTGTGTGTATCTGTGTGTGTGTGTGTGTGTGTGTGAGTATGTGTGTGCTTACGTTGAGGAAGCCCACCTGTCCGGCCTGCTGGGCGGAGTCAGGACAGACCAGCTGGACGAACTCCTTGAGCGTCTCCTGTGGGTGATACCTGATGGCCGGGTGGGAGAAGTAGGAGCCGGGCTGCTGCAGGATGGGGGAGGAGGAGAAGTGGAGGCTGGAGGGGGGGGCGTGGGGGCTCGCTGCGGGGGGGGGGGGGGAGGGAGAGAAAAAAAAACAGAAGAGAGAGAAAAAGTTAAAAACAGAACAAAGAGTTTGAAGAGAAAAGGAGGGGGAGGAAGAGGTTGATTAAAGGGGGCGTGGCTTAACATGCAAATGCATTATGATGGACACACACTGCACAAACAACGGACCATAATGCACCTCTCACACCCAGCTGTTAATCAAAAAAAAAGTCAGTGTGGAGGTCAATGAACATGTCTATTTATGCTCCTCTCCTCATCTCCTTTTTTCCTTCCCTTGTGTCCCCTTCCTTCTCATCTTCCCTACTGTCCTTCCTTCCTTTCCTATTTTTCCAATTTCTCCTCTTTCCTTTTTCTCAGTCTTGCTCTCCTCTCCTTGCTTCCTTTTCCCCTCACCTTGGCTACTCTCCTCCTTTCTTTCCGTCTTCTCTTATCTCGTCACCTCCCTCTTATTCTTTCCTCCTTTTGGTACCTTTGCCTATCTTGTTCCTTTTCTCTTTCATGTCTTATCTATTCTCCCTCCCTTGTTTCCTCTCCTTCTATTCCTTCCTGTTTTTCCTTTCCTCGTCTTCTTTTTCTCCTGTTATTCCTCCTTTTGTCCTTTTCACTCTCCTTTCCTACGCTTGTGTATCCTTTCCTCCTCTGCTTTCCTTTTGTCTTTGCCTAGCCTTTCCTCTCCTATCCTCTCCTGTTTCCTTCCCTCCTTTCTCTCTCCCTCCTCTCTAATTCAATTAGGCCTCTAATTGGTCTAATATTCTCTGATTGCTCGTTAGTGGATGAGGCCTCGTTATGGACGGTGATGTATAGAGCTCTGAGGAGAGAGAGAGAGAGAGAGAGAGAGAAAACAGGGAGGGAGAGAAGGAGAGAGAGAGAGGGGGGAAGAGAGAGACTATAGAAACAAGAGAGAAGAGAGAGAGAAGAGAGAGAGACATTTGAATATAAAGAAAGAGAGAGAGAGAGAGAGAGAGAGAGAGAGAGAGGGGCGAGAGAGAGGGAGAAGGATGTATGGAGAGTTAAAGCTGCTGCACTAATTCACTTAAAGTCTGCTGTGATTTATCACTCTGACAATACACACTGACCGAGTGTGTGTGTGTGTGTGTGTGTATGTGTGTGAGCGTGTGTGTGTGTGTGTGTGTGTGTGTGTGTGTGTGTGTGTGTGTGTGTGTGTGTGTGTGTGTGTGTGTGTGTGTGAATGTGTGTGTGTATGTGTGTGTGTGTGTGTGTGTGTGTGTGTGTGTGTGTGTGTGAATGTGTGTGAGTGTGTGTGTGTGTGTGTGTACCCTGCGGCCGATGTATTTACAGTAATCATTGGATGGATGGCTTTCTCTGCCCTCGTTTCTTTTTCTTGTACACACAGAAACACACAGACAGACACACACACACATCCTGAAAACACACACAAAAAAAATACACACACACACACAAAGACATTACAAGGAACACACAAACGCACACAGAAGCAAAAAAGATGATCCCAATCAGTGTGCAGGAACGCACACCTACCAGCATGTGTGTGTGATCCACATTAACTGCAGCTGTAAAGTTAGACATTTTAACATAGAGCTCTATGGGGACTGACTCACTGCAGGAGACAGACTCTAGTGGACACTGGAGGAACTGCAGCTGTAAAGTTAGACATTTTAACATGGAGCTCTATGGGGACTGACTCACTGCAGGAGACAGACTCTAGTGGACACTGGAGGAACTGCAGCTGTAAAGTTAGACATTTTAACATGGAGCTCTATGAGGACTGACTCACTGCAGGAGACAGACTCTAGTGGACACTGGAGGAACTGCAGTGTTTTCTGAATGAACTTTGAAACGATGCTTAATTCTAGCGCAAACTATGACAGAGCCTTTTCTTTTGCACAGGTAAAAGTGCACTTAGACCGAAGACCCCGCCCACTTTCATAGCAGGCCAATCAGTGTGCAAAGTGGGCGTGGTATGTTGATTGGCTCTGGATGCCACTAAACATATAAATCTGTCAGAAAACATGTTTCAGATGTAGTTCAACAAACTGAAAGTACTTCTTTTTTAGAAGCATTAAACTCTCCTCTGACCAATAGGTGAAGTCGCTGTTAGTGCCGCCTAGAGAACACACTGCTCATTACAGCTACAGTGTGAGATTATTCAT